TACGATTCCCTCCTGCCTAACCCTGACATCATCTCAGAGGGATCCAAAGAAAGTCTGACGCTCGCTGCGCATGGCCTTTGAAGAAAGCTGGGCCTGGCTCACACCGCAGCTTCCAGTGCCTCTGTAAAACAGCAAAGCCTCTGGGGCTGTGCGAAGTGCAGCCGTCCGTCAGCCCCCTCCTCTGCAGGGAGAGCTTCTGCTTCAGGAGGGAAGGGCTTAGGGTTGTGCGCTACTTCCCACTTCTCCCAGTTGCTGTTAAAATTGTAAATCCTGCTGCCTCACTTCCTCTTTTTTTTTTTTTTTTTTTGCCTTCCCCCTTACATCTCAACTGCAGAGATTATGGCAACTAAATTGATTTTTGTTTGTTTCGTTTTAATGCAAAAATACTGCACAGAGCTGGGGTCTGACCACCCGCCGCAGAGGAGGCCGGGGGCGGAGGCTGGTGTCACCCGGCGAGCTGCCTGGGGGGATGGATGGGCCTAGAAGTGGGACCCGCGCTGCTCCGTCTGCCCCCCGCCGCGATGCGGTGCCAGGGCTCCCTCGTGAGCGTTAATGGCTCAGGGCTGCTCCAGAACAGCTGATACTCCAGCTGTCTTCTCTTTCCTCTCTGAGTTAGCTTTTTTGCAACCCGGACCAAGTGCATTTTTGTTTTTCCTGCCAAAAAGCAAGTTTATAACCAGTGTTGTCTTCCGAGATGCTATTAAATGTTACTGTACCTTTCACATCTGTACCCGTGGGTTTCTTTTAAATTTGGTTTTATTTTGACTACAGGTTAAACATCACCCTGCGTAACGATTCTGAGTCATTTCCAGCTTAGAGAAGCTGAGTCAGTTTACTCACTGCTGCAGCCTGACACAAAGATCTTAACACCTTAGATTACTGCTGCTAATCAAAGGCTCAGAGGAGTTGTCTGAATATCCTACAGTGCGGTAGAGACAAGTACTTCTCTCGAGCATTCCTCTCCTCTGCGTGGTAAGAATGGCAGCCTGGGGGAGGGACAGCTTCAGCCAGACATGTGAGCGAAAAACAAACCCCTGGCACAAAGATGACCTGGTCGGTTATAGACTGGGATGTAGAGGGGCAGTGGAAAGTGCTGCCCTGTAGGAGGGTCCCCTGTGTGCTCCTGTATCTGCTGTAGGTGGGAAAAGGAGGAAACTTGGAGATGTGGGGATTGAGTCGCTGGTCACGGGGAGCCCGTGGAAGCGGCTGGTTTGCATGAGTGGTGCTTCCTGTATTTGAGGTCCACGAGGGTCCAGCTCTGGTCGGAGCAGTCTGGGAAGTGGTCTGGGCATCCTGCCCCCTTCCACAGCAAACTGTGCTTTTCAAATTTTAATAGAAGTGGCAACTGCGGCTTAAATAAATGGGTTTACTGGGAGCCTTTAACGAGGGCTGGGTGGCAGCATGTTTGGGGCCTCTGCTAGAAGGGAACCTGCCAGAAGGTGCTGGCCTCGTGGGAGTGTTATCAGCTGGGTGTGGAGTGGGAGCTTTGTCACAGCTGAAACAGGAATGTGCTGGGGAGAGAGGCCTGCAAAGCGCAGCCCCAGCCCATGGGAGGGGGAGGAAGATGTTTTACT